TGTGTGTGTGTGTGTGTGTGTGTGTGTGTGTGTGTGTGTGTGTGTGTGTGTGTGTGTGTGTGTGTGTGCTTGGCAGAGAAGCAGACAAGATGCAGTACTTGTTTTTAAATCAAGGCAACTGCTCTCGGATTGTTTTTTAAGTGGAAAATTACTACATCAATACAAAAAACTCAGTGAAATACTAATGTGCAGAAACACTGAAATGTTATTTTTTATATTTACAAGAAGATGTTGTTGTAAATTAAGAACAGGTTTTAAAACCAGGTACGAAAAAAGGCCCAGTGTTCGTTAAAGGAATGCAGATATCACCCGCCACCTTTCATGCTGGTTTTACACTTAAATCCTTTCATGTTGAGAATTAACAAAGTAGTTGACTTTTAGGTGAAACTTCGAAAAAAAATATTGTTGCAAGATGTCATGCTCAGAGTATGTAGGAGCAGGTGATTGATGTATAAATATTTGTTAATGGGCATTAGGTCACATGGGTAATTGGCGGTGTATAAGGTAGGAACCTTTCTGTGTGAGCAGGTGTTCAACCCTGGAAGTGGGGTAACAGATTTGACCGCTAAAGAAACAAACGCTGTTAACGTGTATGGGAAGAAGAAACTTGTATGCCTTCAAGTAGGAAACCAAGCAAAATAAATGGATAACCTGTATAACCATCAACGGCGGCTCTAACTTTAATTCATCTGACAAGGTAACAATATGCGTGTCAATACTTCCCCAGTGTATCGCCTCGGTGGCTTAAAGCGTCAGTGGCTTGGCCACTACAACAAAGTATTTAAAGTCCAGTTTTAGCTGAATATTCGTAACACTGACAGTTGTTGCCATTTTGTTTTGTCTAATATTTATATACTCTAGTGACCCTCTTTAATTGGATTGAAACAAAAAAACTAAGTAGTTGTAAATGTACATCCAGTAATTAATTTCAGAAAGTTTCTTTAAAATCCATTCAGTGGTTTATGAGATATTTTGCTAACAGTCAAACACAGTGGACTTTATTAGTAATTGTTTGAATTTCAAATATCTGGTGCAAAAAGTAGCACCTAAACTATATGTTGTAGATAAATCTCAGCTATAATCATACTAAATTTGAGCACAACAAACACCAAATTCATTGAATTAAAGCCAATTTTTGTGTTTTTGAAGGTGAGTTGACTGTGGAAACCATCTGGAATGGGGTCGGCTTCAAAAGTGAATCAGTGTAGTGGTCCATTTAATTAAACATTTCTGAAATTTTCAATAAAATTAATTTAGTGGTTCTTGAGATATTTTTCTAAGAGACATTTTTTACTCTAAATAGTTAACAGCAAAATGTTAAGCAAAGCTCTGGCTTTATCCGTCAGTGCTCAGAATATTTATTGGTGATTAGTTTCAGCTTCTTCCATACCAAAATGTATGTTGATAGCTGTAAAAGAGACTGAGGCATGGCCAGTTTTGTGTTTTAAATGTTGGTTTTGATAGTCATCTTATATCAAGTGGACTGAAAAAATTTATCAATTGTAATACATTGTGTTTCAATAACAATTACAACTACAATCTGAAGCAAATGTATTTTCATCAGCATGTAATTAGCACCATTTCCTTTGTGAATTTGATGCTGAGACAGATACAAGCAGGCGCAAAAGTTGGAGTAAAATTTAGGCACAGAGCTGTTTTTAGGAATGAAAACTCCTGTTTCTGTTTCACATGAACATGAGTAAAAACAGAAACAAGTTTCTGCACTTTTATCTCTTATTCTAGATTTCTTCACTTTCATGCTGATCCTAAGCAGTCGTAACAATGTCCAGGTATGAATTTTCCTTTGTCTGAAGATAAAAACTTGGTGTTGTGGGGCTACTTCTCTAACACCCTGAAGCTACATGGACTACAATCTGAATTAAATCAACTCTACACTGTTCACTGCAGCGAACACCCTCAGGCACCCTTAAAGCTGAAAGCTGACACTCACATGAAATCCACTTCACTGAAGTGCAAAACCAGAACAATGAAAAACATGACTGGTGTGTAATTTCTAGCCGTAACAGCAGATAATTGTTTTTTATAAGAATAGTTTTGGGACTGTTTATTTTCTTTAGTGTTTTTATTGCATGTCTTAATGAGAGGTCATTGTGTTTGCATAGCAGGGGTGAAACGAGACGTTGATTTGGATCCATCTGTGTGTGAGCTGCAGGAGGTTGGAGGGTAAACTCACCGCAGTCAGGGCACACACCGGGCCGGGCCATAGAGTCAGCACAAATAAGATCCCATTAGTTCATCTGCCGGCACATCGACATGCCAAGTGCAGCTAAAAAAAAACACTTTACACAAATGTCTCTAGAGTGAAAAGCACATTTTTTACACAGCTTGACATTATTAACAAATATTTTTGTACTAAGGTCAGGATTTTATCCATTTTGATCAAAGCTTGAACTTAATATGTGGTAACTTGTGTGTGTATATATATATATATATATATATATATATATATATATATATATATATATATATATATATGTATGTATATGGCGGGTAAAATAAGTATTGAACACGTCAACATTTTTCTCAGTAAAAATATTACTAGAGGTGCTAATGACATGAAATTTTCACCAGATGTCGGTAACAACCCAAGTGATCCATACATACAAAGAAATCAAACCATAAATGTCCAGAAATTAAGTTATTTGTAATAATGTGGAATGACACAGGGAAAAGTATTGAAAACGCTTACTGAAATTTATCTAATACTTTGTACAAAAGCCTTTGTTGTCAATGACAGCTTCAAGACGCCTCCTGTATGGAGAAACTAGTGGCATGCATAGCTCAGGTGTGATTTTGGCCCATTCTTCCACAAACAGTCTTCAAATCTTGAAGGTTTCGTGGACCTCTTCTATGAACTCTGATCTTTAGTTCTTTCCATAGATTTTCTGTTGGATTCAGGTCAGGTGATTGGCTGGGCCATTCCAGCAGCTTTAGTTTCTTTCTCTGAAACCAACTGAGTTTCCTTGGCTTTGTGTTTGGGCTCATTGTCTTGCTGAAATGTCCAGCCACGTTTCATCTTCATCATCCTGGTGGATGGAAGCAGATTTTTATCAAGAATGTCTCTGTACATTTTTCCACTCATCCTTCCTTCAATTATTTGAAGTTTGCCAGTACCATATGCTGAAAAACAGCCCCACACCATGATGTTCCCACCTCCAAACTTCACTGTTGGTATGGTGTTTTTGGGCTGATGTGCAGTGCCATTTGACCTCCAAACATGTTGTGTATTTTGACATCCAAACAGTTCAATGTTGGTCTCATCTGACCAGACTATATTCTCCCAGTATTACACAGGCTTGTTTAAATGTTGTGCAGCAAACTTTAAAGGAGCTTCAACATGCTGTTTCTTCAGCAGTGGAGTCTTGCGTGGTGAGCGTGCATACAGGCCATGGTGGTTCAGTGCATTACTTATTGTTTTCTTTGAAACAAACGTACCTGCTAATTCCAGGTCTTTCTGAAGCTCTCCACAAGTGGTCCTTGGCTCTTGGACAACTCTTCTGATAATTCTTTTCACTCCTCTGTCAGAAATCTTGTGAGGAGCACCTGGTCATGGTCGGTTTATGGTGAAATGATGTTCTTTCCACTTCAACATTAAATACCTGTAATATGGAACTATAATCACATGGTCTGAAGTGCTTGGAGTATGTGTTGTAAATGACTCTTAGCTACTAACAAACCTAATTTTAGATCACTATCTTCTCAATTCACTGAATAATAAGGTTCTTTCATACATCAATTCCATGAAATGGCTGCACAGACCAGTCTGTCTTTATGCTGCCGCTGGCTGAAAAGAGCTGACCACACACAGACAGGAGTTTTCTGAAATAAAACAGGCATTGCAAAACGTTTCAGCAGTGTTGATGTAAAGCACAATGCATTAAAGTAGACATATTATGCTTTTATATCCTTCCTTTTCATATTTAAAGCATTCATTTGGGGGTCTTTATATAGTGGAGCTACAATGCTTTGGTCTGAATTCCTTCTTTTTCTAACTTTACCAGCCCCTCTTTCACCCCTTTTTTCATGTGCATCTTGAAGCAGTTGGTTTGTCCCTTCAAGACTCTTCAAGCTCCGCCCCCCCTCTGGCTTCCAGACCAGTCCACTCTGACTTTAGAGAGGGGGTTAGCATTTTCTAGCTTGCAGAAATGTTTTATTTAACAACTTAATTAAACGATGTCAACAAGAGAAGACTTGTCCATCCAGCCTTACATGTTGAAGTCCGGCCCAGAGCCAGAGGAGAATGCAGATGAGGAAATTGTTGTTGGTAGTTCTACACCTTATTTGGCAATTCTGTCGCTCAAAAAATGGACACAATAGTTTTCAGAAAACGTCATAGAAATTAGAGAAAACTGAAAACTACGACCCAAACAGAATATAAAAATAACTTCGCAGCACCTGGAGAGACTAAATTGAACTTTCCTGCACTCCTAGAGACTCAACAACAAAACGTATTCATCAGCTAAAAAAACTGGATTTTGCATATGTCCCCTTCAAATGTATGATGGACATTTGCCTCGCATTGGGCCTCATGCAAGAACCGTTCGTACGCACAGATTTGTTCTTAAGTAGTGCGTACGAGTGATTTAGGAGAATTTGTGGCATTCACCAATGTTTTCGTATTCTAAGATTTTTTTCAGATACAAACAAAATTCACGAGTGGTCCAGATGGGTTTTCCTCCCTAAAAACTTTATATTTCGTTAGTTTGAAGATATTTTGAGTTGAAAATAAATTACACTCCATAATTATGTCGACAAAAGGCTATTCTGCTTGAATTAGAGTTATAATTTTAAATGCAATAATTTAGACTAACAATATAAATTGTCCGTCCGTCCGTCCGTTTTCCGCCGCTTATCCGCGATCGGGTCGTGGGGGCAGCAGCAGAGAGACCCCGCTCTCCCCAGCGACACCTTCCAGTTTGTCCTGGGGGACTCCGAGACGTTCCCAGGCCAGAGGGGGTACATAATCCCTCCAGCGAGTCCTGGGTTTTCTCCAAAGTGTCAGACATTTTGAAATCATTTTTGAAATGCTTATTTCAAACCCGCAACTGAGACCACCTGCGACTGCGCGGGGGGGGGATGAAATGATTTAACACAGTCTTTTATACTTTTAGCAGCTCTTTTTATTCCACAGCTGACCTGCTAAAATGACAGATTTTCTTTTCTGGATCTCTGACAGACGGACTTCAATCTCTGAACTCATAAAGTTCTTCTTTTTAGTTTTCACTGTCATTTTCATGAATGGACACTTCCT